TCGTGAAGAAGAAGAAAAAGCAAAAATCTTAAGAAACAGAACAAAGTGAAAGCTTGGAAATGGAATAGAAAATGCGGCCTACAGACATATGTCCTTTCAGAACCTTTCTTTAGTTGGCTGAATTTTCCTATTTCTTGTGCAGAGGTTCAACTTTGTCAAACTATGAGCGCTAGCTTCCCTGGATTTGGATGATGTCAAAGGATTTCTTAAGCATGGAAACACTCATTAGAGGCAGCAGACACGGTTTGTGACGGCTTAACCTGGACTATAAGAGCCTTGTATCAGTGACCCACTTCATCACGGAACGACTCTCATCTTCAGATCATCGATTACTGCCAAGAAAATTCGAGGAGGAAGAAGACATGCCAAGCTGCAATACCTGAGGATGGGAAGTTGGAGAGGGAACATTTTGGTTTTGCTTCTGCTGTCTCTGAGCTAGTGTTTTGGATCATGATGAGAGTGGAGGATACAAGAATGGCTACCACAGTTACTCGAGATCCTGTCCTCAAGCCAAGAGAATCATCAGGGACACTCTGAGCAAGCACACCGATTGGGACAGGACGATACCAGCAGGAGTTCTTCGCTTGCACTTCCACGACTGTTTCATCGATTGGGACAGGACGATACCAGCAGGAGTTCTTCGCTTGCACTTCCACGACTGTTTCATCGACAGGAGTAGCTTTGCAAGATTTAAATTCTTGTCTTCTAACTTTGCTGTTCTTCAGGACTGTGATGGATCGGTTCTTCTCGACTGATGGAAGTAAAGTGTAAAAGTTGTCCCTTCCAAGCCTCATGTCTGCCAAGAGCTTCATTTTTGTCCTGGTGTTGTCTCCTGCGCTGACACTCTTGCCATAGCTGCCAGAGATTCAACCGTCATGGTAAGTTTAGCATCTTTTATCAAGTTCTAAGATGGAGAGAAAAGTATTACCAAGTCCCAACTGGATGCTACGACGGAAGAGTTTCCATCCAGGAAAACAGCAACACCTTACAATCTCCGTTTGGGGATGCATCAGCTCTCATTAAAAACACTGGATATTTCAATTGGCTCCAAAACTGTAAAACAGTTGTAAATCACAAAATTTGTGAACCAGCCAGTTCTCGCCTCTATAGGATGATCCTTTTGACAGCAGAATAGTACGCAATGGCCAACTCAATCCAGGGCACTGGAATTTGAAGACATTGCAGCCAATTCTTGGAGATCTTCCCCATCTACAAGAACAAACAATGGAGGCTGAAGTGGAATCCAGTGAAGTTTACCTTCCATGTACCAACTTATAGCATGGCAGGAGCGTCCCGCAGCCAAGTCGTGGTGTAGGCGTACTTCATCATGAGATTGAGCAGTGGCCGCTCCATCACCTGCTCTTGATTCGACACAAACACATCCAGCCGAAACCAGAGTCACTCGTGGGACTCGATGTCTGTGACACAGGAACGCCACCTGTTTACTCCTCCCATTTTCTCCTTGGCCTCGTTCTGGATGAAGGCCCGGTCCTCGAGGATGGCAGCATCCATGCTCTTTTTGCAGCGATGCTCCTCTCGCCCCATGTTTGCCCCAATCTGCCCGATCGCCCTAAAAAATTTCACTTGATTTGGAGCGTCATTAAAATCACATTGAAGCGTTGCCACCCCTTTGGCACTTGATCTATGCCATTTATTTCAAGTTTTTGAATTTGAACCGTTAGATTATAAGTATATTCAGAAATAATATTCTAAAAATGGAATAAAAGACGCCGGATGCCATATGCCAATAGCACGTTTAAATAAGGGAGTATGATGACTAGCTGGGATCCCAGCTCCGCTGGGAGAAGTACAAAATATTTTGGGCACATTGAATTTTTAAGCATTTTAGCGTCAAGAGTAAGCATTTTAATTTTAATTTTAAAATAATCAGTTGAAAGTTA